ATCATCAGCTACATCATAACTCTAACACTATCAGTGCACAGTAAAGATATTAATATGAAGGTTCAAATCAGTCATACTATTAGTTAGTCCCTTCTAGTGCCCCAAGTTACAAAATTATAGCATAATAAACAAAGAGGATGGAATGAAAAGGATGACACATCCAACTGTGATAAACCTGCCAGAACTCCAAAACATTTCTTTAAAAACTCCAGTATAACTAGGACTTGCATAGTTTTCAAAGACACTTCTAGCATTGTAACTGAACCCCTGGGACAAAGCTAGTCGCATGCAACAGAGACAAGGAATGGAGTTATTTAAGCAAATCTGCAAAAATTTAAAGACTGCTCCAATTAGTGTAGCCTGATCTGAGAATGAAAATACAACCTGTGATGCTGAAATGGCAAGTGAGAAGAACACTAGCTGCAAATCCGACAAGCCTATAGAACCACCCACTGAGCAGACAGAAGGGACAACTCAATTACAACCCACACAAGCATGTCCTCAAAAGTAACTTGCTCCACATATTGGAAGATATTTAATTCCAAAGGAAGGAAGAACCATCATATGTTTGAATGCTGCTGTTATATGGGAACATTAATACTGCAAAAGGCAAGGATTTCTCAGGGTGATAGTTCATCCAATAAAATATGTAGCTGGGATAAGGTTAGACAAGCTTTTGAATGCAAGACATTCTTCCTCTTGCATTCAAAAGCTTGTCTAACTTCATCCCAGTTATATAGTTTGTCCAATACAAGGTATCACCGTAAGAAATCCTTGTCTTTTTGCATAATTTCTGGACCGTTATAGCTGCAACATCACTGTTACAGTATCATAATATTAGTAAGTGCATCTCCAATATTTTGTTTACAGTGAGGAAGTATTATGTTAATCGAAGAAACAATTCTAAGATTCCTTCTTGATCACGCTGTGTGTACTGTGGTTAATTGTTGACAGCAGTGTGTGTGTTTACACAGGCTTTTTCATTAACAAGACTCTTCAGCCTATTGGAAAGCAGAGGAAAAACAGTTTAAAAAAATCATGAATATTTGGAATCTGAAATGTTGTTTCTGAATGAGCTTTGAAGACAGTAATACTAATATCTACTGGACTGCTGTCATCCTTGAATTTCCTTTGGTTTTCAATAAAGAAGACAATAGTTTTAAGGACTGATCCTTTTGGCTTTAAGCCTTTCAAGGGATTTTGTCAGCCCAGTAACTAGAGCTTAGTCTGCTTCAGGGGTGGATCCAAGATTTGGCAGAGATGCCACTGGAGGGGTGGCTGCACCTCGATTCCCAGGCTCCTGCCACCCTCATGGATAAGGGTAGACCCTGATGTGGCAGCCTCTGGGGACTTTTTCAAAGTCCTCCAAGCATGTTAGAATCCCCACCTTTCCCTCCATGCTCAGAAGCACATTCCCCGCTCCTACTGCTTTCTCCACTGTCCCTGGAAACTTCAAAGCTGCTCCTGCCCGCTCCAAGGGGCCATGAGTGGGCTGGGAATGTTAAATGCTGTAGCAGCCAGATTTGGGAGGAGGGGGATGGGAAGAGGGTGATTTCACTACCGTGCCTGGTCCTTCTCCCCTCCATTCCCCCCAAGCAGGTGCAGGAAAAGGGAACACCCTTGCCCCTGAACCTACCCCAGGAATCACTTTGAAGCTTTATCCTGCCCCAGATGGAGGGGTGGGGGAAGGAAGCAGCTGTAGCAGGAGGAGGGGAAAAGAGAAGGGTAGGGAAGGGGGATGTTTTTGGAGACTAAAAAAAATCTCCAGAGGTTCCTGTGCTAGATCCAATGCAAAATGCAGCTATGCTACTAAATCCCCTCATGGGGTCCACCTGGGTCTGCTTCCCTCAACCTGCACCTTCTATGCTTACATAGCTACTAGTCTTTGTTCCCTCACCCCTTCCTGTTCCTGATTTACTGAAGCCCTTTGATTTAATGTCCTTATTCTGACTGTGGTGGAGAACACAGTGTGCTTCACTAGTTAGATGCTGATTTTGACTTGAACAATAGGCTAAAATGTGGATAAACTGGTAATGACTGTATTTTCTGATTTCCTGCGAAGGAGGACAACGTTTTAGATGCATCCTTGCTAAGCTGGTATTTGTTTTCACATTAAAAGCACCTGAGGTTCCATAAAACCAGAAACACTAATTTGGCCAATTCAAAACACCTTCTCTTTCCAAGGCCTGTTCTTTGTGATTCATCCAGTGTAGATAGTTTGAATGTGGGCTTATCAAATTAAGGTCCTGTACTCTGCAAACACTTTATCTTATGGTTTAGTCACAGAAGTAGGAATATTTTTCTCATGTCCTTCACCAAGGATTACAGTCCCACATGTTCTGTGCAAAAGTTGTCTGCCTGACCTCTTAACCAACAAATGGCTGCATTTTAAACGTGTGTTTACAATATTCAGTCAAGGATGAATTAAAAAATACTCTAGCTCAACTTTTTTTCCCCAACTGCTTGTAATTTTGGCTTTTACATTCCCTGTTTAGTCTCACACTTTATTTAATTAGTAACTTTGATTTAGCCTCTCCCCAGTTAAGTACTTTAAAATATTGCCATAGTTGCCAATAGCAAATGTTGCATTCAGTTGCAACTATTAACTTCAAACAACCTGTTGCACAAGTACAGGCATGTCGCATCATACACACATTTAACTTGTGCGAATTCAACTATACGTGGGTGGGGCGGGGCTGCCATCCCCACCACCACCCCGTGCTGCTGCGCCGCCGCTGCCGGCCGCACAGCTCTAAGCGCGGCTCTGCGGCGGTGGTGGGAGGTTTTGGAGGCAGAGGCAGTCACCACTGGCACGGTAATATGTGACTTCACTATATGTGATTTTTGCCTTTACGTGCTGCCTTTAGAACGTAACCCCTGCGTAAGATGCGGGATGCCTGTATTTTATGCCTGACTCTTAATTTTTTTGTTAAGGTCATCCCGGTTCCAAAGCTGTTTTCAGTTATTCATAATTGTAAAACTTTTATCTTTACTCATATTTGATCTTTTTTTTTTACATATTGCATTAAAACGCTGATTTCATTTAATAAATATTAATCTTCAAGTCCTGTGCGTACCAGAGAACAACAATTGTGTCAAACTGGAACCTAACCAGTGTGCCAGCAATTTCTTGATTACTGCATTTGAGTCCTTGCTCAATGGTGGATTACTTTAGAGACTGCTGACCGAATATGAATTGCTTCTGGACATGTAGCTCTGGCTTGGGTTTATTTTGAAGATCATCAGAAAAATTAATCAAGGCAAGTATACTTTTTATTGTAACGCTGTCTGTGAAATGATGTAAGACCTTCCAGTTTGTATTAAATCTTCTATTTGATATCTTAAAATATGGTTTCATAGATTTCTAGGGTCAGGAAAAAGAACACAAACAGTTGGAGAGTTGTGTTATGTCTACACTTCCTAACTTTTGAATGCAGTTTCTTAAGCATTAACACATCAGGGCTTGTTTGCAAGAAATTTTATTACATCTTTCTGATTATATTACAAACACTAATCGGTATAAAGCTATCTGATTATCAACCTATAGTTCATACTTTGTCATGTTTTCAGGGCAACGGATCACCTGTTATTACCTTTGTTAACCTTGCAATCAACGGATACTTTAAAATGTTATATGCTCCTTTAACTTATGGCTCTTACTTGTAAAGATGGTGACTTTCCCTGTCTGTTTCTCTGGCATTTGTAGAGAGGATTCTCTGTTGTTTTTCTCTGATGAAATTCCTGAAGGCCAATGAGGAAGCCACGGTGTAGCTCAAAACTAAAGCCCAAGGTAAAACATATGTGCTAATATACTAAGTGTATCCATGCACAGATATGTAGCAGCGATAGTCTTACAGCTTGATCCTTGGCGCACAGGACTGGAAGGGGCCACCCAGCATATTGAGTCCGCTTCCTTGGGATTGTGGCCACCTGAAATGGAGGGCTGCTAGTCAGGTTCACAGCGCCCACAAAATGGGAGCCCCGAGCGGGCTCGGCTCTGGTGGAGTTGCCGCTTGCATCACCCTGAGGCTGGCGCCGCCGCAGTAAGGCTTCTGGGAGCGGTGAGTATTCAGCCCTGGGGAGGGAGGACCCTTATAGAGGAAACATTTCAGTAGTCAACCATGAGTGTTTTGCGGGGTGGGCGGTAGGGGAAGCGTTAACCTCTCGGGGAAGCATTTGAGTGATGGGGTAGCCAGGCTGGTCCTCGCCTCTCACATTCATGCATTGTGTCATGTAACTTCATGTATCGATATAACTTCTGGTATCAGGTAATATAGTTCACGTATCGATTTAACTTCAGGTATCAAGTAATATAACTCATGAATCTCCTCTGAAAGTGCGAGACTGGCACGTGTTTTCCTAGCGTCACTCGTCCGCGTTTCGTGCTGTGCTCAAGTGGTGTCTTCACGCTTTTTGCCCAGCGGCACCAGCACGAAGGCTCGTCTTGCATTCGGACCGTGGGGCGTGGCCTGTGAGAATTACTGCCACTGCGAGGGTGCTCCCGGCTTCCCGCCCCCGCCGGGCTGGGCTCTTCCTGAGGGGAGGCTCCAGCGCCCTTCCTGCCCGTGGGGGGAGGGAGGGGGAGGGAAGGCCCGCGGGCTGCTGTGGCACACGAGGGGTTAAGAGAGGCTGAGCCTCCCGCCTCCCGCTCCAACGGCCGCCGCCGGCGGGCCCGCCCAGGCCCACCGCG